TTTTTACATTGTTTTTCAAACTGTATGTTTCCCATTTCCTTCACAGCCCCTCTATTAATTGTGCAAGCCTATGAGTAACCATTCTGTATCCCCTGTGAATTCTCACCCCTCTGTCTCCCCTTTTCTCCTCTTGGATCCTCATACTCATTCTACAATAATGGTTTTATACAGTATTTGTCCTTTGGAACTGAGTTAGTTCACTCAGTATAATGTTCTCCAGTTCCTCCCAAGTTAGGTAGTGATTTACAAAAATCATTGCTTCTGTATGCTATGTTGTACTTCATTGTATGAATATACCATAGTTTCTCAAGCCATTCGATTGTGGTTTGATAGTTAGGCTGTTTCCATGTTCTTACAATGGTGAATAACATTGCTATGAACATTGGTATACAAGTCTTCATTTGTGTCTCAGTTCTCATTCTCTCTGGGTATATTCCAAGCAGTGGAAAAACTAGGTCATACAGTATTTCCATGTTCATCTTTCTGAGGAAACACCGAACTGCCTTCCAGAATGGTGGTAGCATTTTACAGTTCCACCAACAATGTAGAAGAGTTCCTTATTCACAGCAGCCTCTCCAATGATTATTACTTGCTGTCCTGTTAAACATTGCCACTGTTACTTGAGTCAGATGGTATCTCATTGTGGTTTTGATTTGTATCTCTCTTATTGCCAGTAATTTTGAGTATTTCTCCATGTGTCTGTTGGTCATCGGATATCTTCTTCTGTGAAAATTATTTTCATTTCTTTTGCCTGTTTAGTAATTGTGTTATCAATCTTCTTCTGATCCTAAAGGCCCTGTAGGATTCTGTAAACTGTTGATATGAGACCCTAATCGGAAATAGTATTGCCATTTTCCCCCACCAATCAGTAAGTTTTCTTTTCACTCTGTTGGAAAAAGTTTTTGATACTCCTGGGGATTCAATCTTTAGAAGATACATTTATCAATTTTATCTTTTCCAGATTGAGCATTTCTGGTTGTATTTGGTAGTCTCCTTATTCCATAGACGAGGCCATCTAAGCTTTATCCTAATTTTTTATTGATGAAATTTATGGTTGTGGGCTTTAGTCTAAGTTCTCTGGTTCACTTTGAGTTGATCTTTGTGTATGGTGTGATATATGGATCCTGTTTTAGCTTTCTGTAGGAAGCCATCCAATATTGCCAGCACCATTTGTTGAAGAGGTTGACATTTCTCTGTTTGATAGGTTTTATTTTCTTGTCTAATATCAGTTCACCAAAGATAGCTTGGTCTATATCTGGGTGCTCAATTCTGTTCCATTGGTCTGTGTACCGGTCATTGTACCAGTACCATGCTATATTGGTTACTACTGCTGTGCTATACTTCTACTTCACTTTTGTTTTTCAAAAGTGCTTTGCTTATCCAGGGTTTCTTGTCTCTGCAAAACAAACTTGAAAATTTCTGTTTCAATCTCCTTGGAAAATAAACTTGGTATTTGTATTAGGATGGCATTGAACACTTAGATTCCTTTTGGTAGGATTGTCATTTCACAATATTGATTCTTCCTATCTATGAACAGGGTGCATTTTTCCATTTCTTTGGGTCTTTTATTGTATATCGCAGAAAGGTTCTTTAGTTTTTGTTGTACAGCTCTTTTGTGTCTGAGGTTCACTCTTAAGTATCTCTTTGGCTATTGTACATGGTATTGCTTTCTTGGTTTCCTTCTCTGAGTTCTCTTTTTTACTGTAGAGGAACCCTACTGTGGGTTGTTGTATTTTATCAAATGTCTTTTCCACATCAATTGCTAAGATCATATAATTCTTGTTATTTGTTCCATCAATGTGGTGAATTACGTTAATTGTTTTTATTATCCTGAACCATTCTTGCATACCTGTTATGAATTCCCTTTGGTCTTGAGAATTATATTTTAATATGCTTTTGGATTCTGTTAGCTAGGATTTTATTAAGATATTTGTATCTATATTCATAAGAGATAGTGGTCTATAGTTTTCTTTCTTGGTACAGTCTTTTTTGCCTGGTTTTGTTATTAGGGCTATACTTGCTTCATAGAATGTCTCTGGGACTGTTACTTCTTTTTCTATTTGTTTTAAAATAACTTAAGTAGAATTGGTGATAGATTTTCTCTAAATGTTTTGTAGAATTCATCTGTGAAGCCATCTGATCCTGGACTTTTTTTATGGGAAAGTCTATTCATGACTTGTTCAATTTCTTCTTTTGTGATGGGTCTGTTCAAGAGTTCTCCATCTTTGTGGGTCAATCTGGGTAGAGCATGAGTATCAAGAAATTTGTCCATTTCCTTTAGGTTTTCAAATTTATCTGACTATAGCTTTTCATACTATTTCAATATTATAAATGTATTTCTCTGGCTCTGTTGTGATGTCATCTCTATCATTCTTTAACTGAGCTATCTTCATCTTCTCCTCTTTTTCCTTTTTCTTCTATTAAATTTGGAAGCAGGAGTGGCATCCATTTCCTAAACAGCATGCCTCTGGAAACTATGTACTTTGAGAAACAATAGTTATTGAAAGGATTCAGGTCTTTTGTTCAAAGAATCGCTATAAGTTATGCTCGATTCAAAGGCAATCAACAATAGCATTAAATTTGCCAGTGGTTTGTAAATTTTATTGATCCTTTCAAAAAACCAGCTCCTGGTCTTATTGACATCAATTGTTTTTCTGTTTCCTATCTCATTGATTTCAGCTCTTATCATTTTAATTTCCTTTTA